TAGTCTTTTCTGTAGTAAGATGAAAGAAAGAAAAATACTAGTTAGCATATTGTTACTTGGATTCAACTCGTTTTAGCAGTCATTTTAATAGTATAGTAATAAAGTTTACATTTAAGTCATTTCCCCCATGTCTCAGCTTTCTATAGCCTCTCACTTTGTATTCTACCAGTAAATTATAATCATTAAGTATATCACTATTGTACATTATTCTATCACACTGACATGTAAAAGTATAGGCATCTATTAAGAGGGTGTGAAATAGATTGAATCTTGAGGGCGGGATAATCCAGGCAAGTTCAAGTAACTTTTATTTATTTTTAATTGATTTTTAGAGAGAGAGAAAAGGAGAGGGAGAGAGAAAACCATCCATATGATAGTGAAACATCAATTGGCTGCCTCCTGCATGCCCCCTACCAGGGATTGAACCCGCAATCCAGGCATATATCCTGACCGAGAATCAAAACAGCAACCTTTTGGTGCATGGGACTATGCCGAACCAACTGAGCCATACCAGCCAGGGCTCAAGCAACTTTTAAATAGTCATAGTTTTAACTTTCCATTAGTTAGCAGCAATCTTAGAATATCACTCACCCTTTCATTCCAATTTAAAACACCTCACAGATACCTGACAATAAAAGGTATAATGAAGGCTTTACAAACTCAGTTTCTGTAATGGAAACCGTTAAGTTGACATTTACTTAAAAATTATTTAGCATAGCATACATTAATTCATTTAACAGACTACCACTTGGAAACTGTGATAGGAAAAAGGAGAGACGTATTCTTTGAATAAATTTGATACTTTTCTAATTCGTTTCTCCTGAGCTAAATAGATAATGTAAATGCAAGCAACTAAGATAGTAAAGGGATATTTTCTATGTAAAATGTAAATTAAAATTTAAAAGAAGCTTTATTTCTTGTGACTAAGTGGCATCCTTTATAAAACTAAAAACCAAAAAGTATCAATATCCTTAATTCTGATGGTGTTTTTAAAAAAAAGTGTAACTCAGAAAATGATGTCTCACTCCAAAGACAGGACAGACAGGTTTGCATGGAGAAACGAGTCACAAAGATTACCTTTGGCGACTGTGTTTTTCTAGATTTCCAAGTAAATTTGAGCTTTCCTGCATCAAGCATCACCAGTTTTATGATGAAGCATCTGTGCTTCTCACGAAGTCTCTGCCCATTTAGTTTCTTTCTGACAGGCCTAGCAAAGTTTTACCTACAGCTTGCCTACACGAAAAACAGCCCAACTCTATAGAATTCTGCAGTACTAAAATAGTATAATTTGTACTTCTTATGTCTCAGATATACATTGACATCAAACTAATTTAAGTAGAGAATAGCACAAGTGTTGATTCTTGAAAGTGCTGTGTAGTAGCTAGGGGACTTTTGGAGAAGAAAAAATTCAGAATTACATATCAGTGTATTATCAGTGTGATTAACTATCAGTGATAAAAATATGTCTCATTAGAATGCTGAAGTGACTCCAGTAGTATAGAGATGTAATAAGATAAATTTAATAGTGATAAATATTATGTGCTATGTTTAAGTTCTCATAACCCAGGGAAAGCCAAGAAGGCAATGGTGGCTACAGAGTTTCCCTTTAAGTTGGGTTTGTTTAGGAGTGGCTGTCTGGTGTTAAGGGTTAAAGGAATTACCTTGAATCTTCAGTTACGAAGCAAGCTGTATTAATTAGCTTTCATGGATTAAAAAAGCACCTCAGAGTTTAGTGGCTTAAGACAATAACCATTTCTGGGCTCTCTATTTGGTACCGTTGATCTATATGCCTGTTCTTGTGGCATACCAGGCTGTCTTGATTACAATGGCTTTGTAGTATAGTTTCATATCCGGTATTGGGATCCCTCCAGTTTTGTTCTTTCTCAAGGTTGCTGTGGCTATTCAGGGTCTTTTTTGGTTCCATATAAATTTTCAGAATATTTTTTCTAGATCTATAAAATATGTCTATAGTATTTTAATAGGGATTGCGTTGAATCTGTCGATTGCTTTGGGTAGTGTGGACATTTTAATGATGTTCATTCTTCCAGCCCATGAACATGGTATATGCTTCCACTTACTTGTATCTTCCTCTGTTTCTTTTTTTAATGTCCTATAGTTTTCCAAGTACAGGTCTTTTGCCTCCTCAGTTAAGTTTATTCCTAGGTATCTTATTATTTTTGTTGCAGTGGTAAATGGAGATTTTTTAATTTTTTTTTTGTAGTTCTCTTTCTGAGAGTTCATTATTGGTGTATAAAAATGCCATCGATCTCCAGATGTTCATTTTGTATACTGCTTCTTTGCCAAATTCATTTATTAAATCTAGTAGTTTTTTGGTGGAGTCTTTCAGGTTTTCTATGGACAATATCATGTCATCTCAATGATAGTTTTACTTCCTTCTTTCCAATTTGTATGCCTTTTATTTCTTCTTCTTGTCTGATGGCTGTGGCAAGGACTTCAGTACTGTGTTGAATAAGAGTGGTGAAAGTGGACACCCCTGTCTTGTTCCTGATCGTAAGGGAAATGCTTTTAGTTTTTGCCCATTGAGTATGATGTTGCCTGTGGTTTCCTCATATATGGCCTTTATTATGTTGAGGTATGATCCCTCTGTTCCCACTTTGCTGAGAGTTTTTATGATAAATGGGTGCTGGATTTCATCATGCTTTTTCTGCGTCTGTTGATATGATCATATGATTTTTATCCTTCGTTTTGTTCATGTATCACACTTATTGATCTGCAAATATTGTGCCAGCCTTGCATCCCTGGAATAAATCCCAGTTTGACAAAGGAGGCAGTAGTATATAATGGAGTAAAGACAGTCTTTTCAATAAATGGTGTTGAGAAAATTGGACAGGTACATTCAAAAAACTGAGACTAGACCACCAACTTACACCATACACAAAAATAAACTCAAAACGAATAAAAGATTTAAATCGCAAAAACATAAAAATCCTAGAAGAAAACATAGGCAGTAAAATCACAGACATGTCAGGTAGCAGAATTTTTGCCAATACATCTCCTAGGGGAAAGGAAACAAAGGAAAAAATAAACAAATGGGACTGCATCAAACAAAAGCTTCTGCACAGCAAAAGCAACCATCAACAAAATGAAAGGGAACCCAGGGTATGGGAGAACATATTCACCAATGATACATCTGATAAAGGGGTAATTTCCAAAATATATAAAGAACTCATAGAACTCAAAAAAGGAAGACAAACAATCCAATTAAAAAATGGGCAAAGGACCTGAATAGACACTTCTCCAAAGAAGACATACTGATGGCCAAGAGACATGAAAAAATGCTCAACATCACTAATCATCAGAGAGATGCAAATTAAAATTATGTATGATGAGGTATCACCTCACACCTGTCAGAATGGTTACCATCAGTAAATCAGTAAACAAGTGCTGGTGAGGGTGTGGAGAAAGGGGAACCCTAGTACACTGCTGGTGGGAATGCAGACTGGTGCAGCCACTGTGGAAAACAGTATAGTGTTTCCTCAGAAAATTAAAAATGGAGCTGCAGTTTGGTCCAGTGGTCCCACTTCTGGGAATATATCCTAAGAATCCCAAAACACCAATCACAAAGAACTTATGCACCCCTGTGTTCATAGCAGCGCAATTTACAATAGCTAAGATCTGAAAACAGCCCAAGTGCCCATCAGTAGCTGAGTGGATAAAAACCTGTGGCACGTTTACACCGTGTAATACTATGCAGCGTAAAAAAGAAGGATCTCCTACCGTTTGCCACAGCATGGAGGGACCTAGAGATTATTATGCTAAGTGAAATAAACCAGTCCAAGAAAGACAGCTATCACATGATTCACTTATATGTGGAATCTAATGAACAAAATAAACAGACAAACAAAATAGGTCCAGAGACATAGATGTGTGGAACCGACTGACAGATCTCAGAGGGAAGAGAGGTGGGGGGTCGGAAGATATTAACCAAAGAATTTATATGCATATATGTATAGCCAATGGACACAGACAATAGCGTGATAAAGGCCTGAGGTGAGGTGGGGCTGGGTGGGAGGGTAAATGGGGGAAAACTGTAATACTGTCAACATTAAAAAATAAATTTAAAAATATATGTTTTAAAATAAAACAAAAACAATAATCATTTAGGTCTTATTTCTGTGGGTTGGCAGTTTGGACCTGTATCAGCTGAGTGGTTTTTCTGGGCTCATACTTGTGTCTGTGTCAACTACTGGTTGGTTGGAGGCTGGATGAGCTAGGATGACTTCAGTTTGACTGACTTGCCAACCTGGCCTTCTCCCAGGTGACATGTGGTAGCTGGGCAAAGTTCTAGGAGAAAGTGGAAGCACTCAATATTCTTGAGACCTAGACTTAGAACAGATAACGAGGTCACTTCCATCAAATTCAAAACAAGTCTCAAGGTCACCCTATATCCAAGGGGTCTGGAAATAGACTGTGTCTCTTGATCAGAGGAGCTGCAAATTTACATTGCCAGTAGGGAGGGGAAATAATTGCTGCCTTCTTTGTAAGTAGTCTTTCACACCACTGATACTGTTTTAATATGTTGTAGATAAATAAAAATAGCAGTTTTTATAACATTCTTTTGTTCGTACTCTATATTTTGAGAAACCACAGCTTCCACTACAAGTTGGTTATTCATTTAGATTAATTTGAACAATGAATCTAATAGCTGAAAGCAGGTTTTGTGCTTGTATTGAATTATTTTTCGAGGTGGTGTGATGGGTATAAAGTTATGGGTTCTAAGGTAACCCATTTTATTTCATAAAATGTTTCAAAATAAGGTAGAAGCATACAAAACCTGTTCACTGAATGTGTCCAAAAGAAAATACAAATCTACTTGACATTGTAGGTATTTATGTTCGTAGAACAGTTAATGGTCTTTAATAAAAAATTATATGAAGAATAAATTACTATAAATGCAAATATTGTGTTTTTTACTACAAAAAATTAACAATTTTAAATATAGTTATTTGGAATTTTAAGTTTGAACATCTTATTTCTAGGAGCTCTGCCAGTGCCGACCTGGAGAAGGAAATTGTTCCTGCTGCAAGGAGTGTATGCTGTGTCTTGGGACCCTTTGGGATGAGTGCTGTGATTGTGTTGGTAAGTTGACGTGCAGTAAAGTTTCTTAATATTTCTTATCACAGAGTCCTTGACTATAAGAGACTTTAAAGAATATAAATGTATTTTATGTTTATAAACTAGGGTGTGAATAAGATATAATAGTTAGCCCTGGTCGGTGTGGCTCAGTTGGTCGAACATTGTCCCATGCACCAAAGGTCTCAGGTTTGACTTCTGGTCAGGACACATGCCCAGGTTGTGGGCTGGATTCCCAGTGAGGGGCTTGCAGGAGGCAGCTGATCAGTGTTTCTCCATCACATTGATGTTTCTTTCTCTACCTCTCCCTCTCTCTAAAGTCAATAAAAGCATATTTTTTTAAAAAGACTTAATAGATATATAGAACATTATTTTATATTACATTTACTTGTATTAGATGGTGTTACAGATAGGGTGGGGTTTACAGTTGTGAGTATACAAAATGCGGAATTTATTCTTGTATTTTATTAATTAATTATTGTATTATTTTCCATACAAACAATTGTAAACCTACGTTGCCCCACCCTGTTTATGTGTATTTTTATAGAAAATAGTCTAGGAGGAAATTAAAAGTACTTATTTTTGGAAACTAGGAGTGGAGGAAAAACGGGAGATACTTTTTATTTTTAATTTTTTTATACTGTTGAATTTTTTATAAGGAGCATGTCGTATAGTTGTAAATAAAGACTAGATACTTAGCATGTTAAGAAATAGATTATCTTCCTTTATAAAAGACTTCACTGAAAGATCCTCAGAAGCTAAAAGCTATTTTTAACAGCCTTCTGAGGAACAGTCTCCACAGTGTATGAAATAAAAAAATAGCAAGCTGCAAAAGTATGTTTATAGAATGCTACCATTTGTGTTTTAGAAGGAAAACTTAAAATAGACTTGCTAGAGAAATACTCACCATCCTCTCTCCGACCACTTAATTCTTTCCCATCCTTAAAACTGAAATTCAAGTGTCTCCAAGTCTCAAAAACCTTCCTCACTTGACAGAGATAGGATCCCCTGTGCTATTCAGGTTTCTTCTATTACATCATGTAGTTCTTGCTACTATAATTGTCATTGTGCATGTCTCTTCTAATAGAGCATAAACTTTTAAAGAACAGGGATGGTGTCATACTGATGTTTTAAAATTAACCTCTATTTTTATCAAAGTGGGGTAGACGCACATACTTTAAATATATGCGATAGTGCTAAAGCAGTCCTGAGTCATACTTTGGCTTCCCGGTCCTTTGATCCTGTGCCAGAGACAGCCACTTTTATCTTTTTGGTATTGTATTACTTCCATAATTCTAAACAATATCCTATGTTATTCTTGTGATTCTTTGATATTAGAAACTTTTTGTTGACTTCTTATTATGGTAGATAATGATTTTGCTCTCTTATCTCTTATCTTTCCAATAGTTTTATCACTACTAGTTAAATCAGTAATTACTTTAACATCCATTGAGTAAATTAGTATTACATACTAGTTTGATGGATAATAGTATAAACACTGATTTATTAAATGAATAATCCTATTATCTGTCTTTTTGTATTGGAGTATAAGTACCGAGAGATTCCTTATCTGCCAGGCTTTGTATTAATGTTTAAACTTCTGGTTTTCATTTTTAGTTTCCAAGAACCCTTCTGTGATGGTCCCTTTGGGAGAACATACGTTCTTGTGTTACAGATATTTTTCTTATCTTTCTGGGACTAATGATTACAGACTTTGGTTGTTAAAGTTTTCCCTTCTACTCTTTGCCCTGTTTCTCTTTCCTTAAATGTCTGGTGATCCTGGGCCATCTATCCATATATAAAATTTAGTCACTTTAATGCGGTCTGGAAGCCCAGGCTGGTGGACGGCATGGAATCTAGTTTGCCTCGTTCTCGGATGGCTGGAGGAGGAGCTGGCATGTTCAGTGAGGATCCCTCTCCAGCTCACTGTCTATGATCTTTCCCTTTGGGTTGTGCAGCTTTTTCAGAGAAGGATTTTTGAATGTCTTGCCCTGCTGGGGCTGGGCACCTTGGCTGGCCCAGCCCTGGGATCCGGAGAGGCCGCAAGCGCAGTCGTTTACTCCCCATTTCATCTTGTCTCCACTCTGTAGTTCCTGCCGTTTCTAGCCCAGGGCCTCAAGGACGGCCCTCTTACTGCCTACAGTTGTGGGAGGAATGAGGGAGGGGTGTGGAGGCATAACTGTCCTCGAAAGAAGCTCGCCTCTGTAGGGATACCTGGTGTCTCCAACGCCTGAGTCTCCCCAGAATTCTGGGGTTACATCTGCCTGGCAGGGAGACTGCTGAGTCAGTGACATTCCGCTCTTAGGTTCTTCCAAGGCGGGGCTGGTGTTTCAGTTTGTTTTTCTTCATTGTTTTGTAGTGAATTCTGAGAGCACAGGGATAGACGTGTCTTTTCCTCGGTTGTCTTAGGTCCATCTTGGTATTTCTAACAGCTGGTATAGTGTCTAGCACATAAAAGTACTCCAGCACATAGAAGGTTTTATGACTGTCAAAGAAATGAATTATTAATGCATTATTCTTCCAAGATGAACAGTTTATTCTATGCATTTGACAGTTATAATTCTTTTTATTATGTCAGGTCAACTAAAAGCAGCTTTGAATTATTTTGCATCATTAAATGTAAGTTAATTTAATATGTATGATGAAAGTAAAAAGGAAAATAAGCACATTAACCCCTAATATGCATATACAAGTGTTTAATTTAAACATGAGTGCCAAGCAGACAAATGCAGTTTCAGCGTTGCCTAAAATAATGTGTATGTGTGTGTGTTTTAACCATCACACCATGGTAGCAGTGCCATTCAACGTCTCCTCCTAGGAAAGGTCTGTAATTCTCCTACTGAGTAAGAGTAATTATACATGCCCATAGCTCTGTAATTGTAGAAGCAACTTGTGTTTTTCTGGGCTACTTACCATTAAAAAATTATTTACTTTTAAGGATTTAATACCAGTTTTAAATTTCAACTAAGTTTATAATTTAACTTAATTTTCATTTTAAATTCAGTTAGTCTTTCTATTTTCTAGGCTGAAGTGTAGAGATTTCAGTTCCTGTTGTTCAGCAGTACTCTTTTCTGTGTAGGCAGCTGTCTTCCACATCAGGCGTCTTTGATGTCCTTTGCAAACCTGGGGCCACTCCTCCCTTCTGAGCTGAAATGCTCCTCATACTTTTCATGGGTGGTGCACAGACCTCTGAGAGGCCCGAGTTAGAGTACAGCCTTCCCTTCCTGTCTCATTCTGTGGCTTCTGGCTCCTACTTTGTCAAGCGAGCTCTCTCCTCCAGCTGCCTTGCACAAGAGAATTAGCTCCTCTTAAGGTGAGAGTGACGACTGGAGCTCATCCCTGCCGTTCAGTGTATTCCTCAGATCCTATGGTTTCTGGAACCTAGATCTCTACCCACAGGTTGTTGTTTTGTTTTTGTTTGTTTTATTTTTACTTTCCCAATCATACACAAAATAGAGAGTTCAGTGAATTTCTTTGTACCCACCCTCTCTTCAGTGGCCTTACTTGTTCCACCCACTCATCAGTCCGTCCTTCTGTCTGTCCTCTTCCCCCCTTTTTTTGTTGGAATTAACAAAACAAATAATTTCACCTTCAAAGTCCCTAAGTTATGTATCTCAAAAAAAAAGAGTACATTTTCTTAGATAATACAATGTTATTCCCACACCTAAAATAATTATAACGCTTCCTTAGTATTTAATACCCAGTCCATGTTCAGATTCCCCTAATTGACTAAAGGTTATTTATAGATATTTTAGTCACGTTAAGATCCCACAAAGTTCTGTTTATAGAATTTGGTTATTAGGTTTCTTAAGTTCCTTTTATTCTAAAATAGTTCCTCCTCCCCTCACCATCTTTTAAAATCCTGTTGACTTGTTGAAGAAACTAGTAAGTTATGATGGAGAATATATCACATTCTGGATTTAGCTGATTACTTTCTGTGGTTATTTAACTTGTTACTCTATTTCCTATTGACTGGAAGTTAGAGCTGAAAGTTGATTAGATTCAGGTTCAGTGTTGGGGAGGTGGGGTACAGCAGTGCAGTGTACACATTAATACCTAGTTGCCCTGCTTTTAGTGATGCTGAGATTGACCAGTGGGTTCAGATAGTGGAAGTCTGATCGCTTGGTGGTAAACTCCTCACCTATCTTTTACCTGGTGGCTTTACCCTTCATTGATTATCATTGCCACTTTCAGTTTAAATAATGATCTGTTATGATTCCTTCTGTACGTATTAGCTGTAATTATTCTTTATAGAAGAACTTTCCCACATTGACTAGAGCCCTTTGGTTACCCTGACATACAGGATAAACAAAATGTTACACACTTGCTTCTTTCTCTTTACCCATTTTCAGAGTATACTTCATGCCCTAGCAAATTCTAGTAGGGTTTAATACAGCTTTGCTTTGCTTTTTGGGAGGTGTGTGTGTGTGCGTGTGTGTGTTTTCTTTTTGAAGTATCCTTGTAAACTCATGACTTTTTAAAAATATATTTAGTGTTTTAATCAGTTGCTGTCATTATTCTTCTGTGGAAGGCAGCCAATCAATGTGTCTCTCTCACATCAATGTTCCTCTCTCTTTCCCTTTCTCTCTTTCTCTCCTCTCCCACCCTCCCTTCCACTCTCTCTAAAAATCAATGGAAAAAATATCCTCAGATGAGAATTAACAGAAAACAAAACAAAAAAGTATAATGTTGCCTGGCCTGTGTGTTTCAGTTGGTTGGCCTTCAGTTCCCAGTTCCATTCCCGGTCAGGGCACATGCCCCGATTTGGGGCTCGATTCCTGGTAGAGGGCATGCAGGAGGCAGCCAGTAGACATTTTGCTCTCACTTCATGTTTCTCTTTGCCTCCCTTCTTCTCTCTCTAAAAATCAGTAAAAGCCCTGGCCAGTTTGGCTCAGTGTTTGGACTTTCGGCCCACAGACCAGAGGCTTGCGGGTTTGATTCCCCATCAAGGGCATGTACCTGGGTTGCAGGTTCTCCCTGCCCCAGTGGGGTGCATGCCTGAGGCAACCAGTCGATGTGTCTCTCATCAGTGTTTCTCTCTCCCTCCCTTCCTTTCACACTTTCTCTCTGAAAGGCAATGGAAAAAATATCCTCAAGTAAGGATTAACAAAAACAAACAAAAATCAATAAAAAAACTTTTTTAAAAAAGTATAATGTTCACAAAAGTAATTGCAGAGGACTCTGTTCAGTCGTTATTACTACTATAAACAATCTACCCCAAAACAAAACAATAATAATCATTTAATTAGCTCACAAACCTGCATTTTGGGCATGGTTCTTTGGGGTAGCTCTTTTCTACTCCACATAGTGTCAGCTGGGACAGTTCTAAAGCTGGGGCTGATTAAACATTTTCTCAGCTCTCCTTTTTATAGCAAGACTCCTTGAAAACGTTTTCTATGGTCACTATCTCAATTCTTTTCTGCCATTTTCTCTTTTTAAAATATTTTTTAAAAGAATTCATTTTGAAATAATTTCAAATGTAGAGAAAATTTTCTGGAAGGGTAAAAAGACTTTCTTATCCTCTCACTCTGATACCCTAGTTATTAACATTAATGAATTTGCTCCTTTACTTAGTACCCATGGCTCTCTCCCTTTCCCTAAATACACGTACACATACATACACACTCACACTCAAACGTATATGGGCATACCCCCATGATCATTTATCTCTTTTGAATGTTTAGAAAGCAGGCTTTACAGATGATGTCCCACCACTACTAAATACTCCAGTGTGGCTTTTCCAACAACAAGGACATCACCTACATAACTAGCATACAACCCTCCAAATCAGAAAGCCAATGACACTGCCACCCAGTCCACAAACCCCATTTATATTTTGCCAACTGTTTGAACAGTATCCATTTTGTTGATTTATCTCTTTCAATCTGAAACAGTCTCTTAGTCTCTCCCTTGAAGGTTTAATGACTACAGATCTTACCTTATGTAGGATGACCCTCAACTTTGATCCACCTAATGTTGACTGATGATCATACTTAAGTTACACATTCTTGGCAACAACATTGCTGAAATGAAGCTATGCAGTACATCATTGGACATACAACATCAAACTTTCCCATAACTGGCGATGTTAACCTTGATCTCCTGGTAACACTGGTACCTGCCAGATTAGTTAACCCCATTGTAATTAATTAGTATTGTGTAGAGAGTTTTCCAATAGTTCATCAATATGTTCCTCATCAAACCTCCACCCACTAGCCTTAACATCCATTGACAACTTCTATCTGAATCGCACACCTCTGTGATGGTTTCCAAATGGTGATTTTCTATTTCCTTCATTCCTTCTACATTTACCAGTTGGCACTCTAGTAAAAGGAAGAGCTTTCTATTCTCTCCCATGTACTCATTCACTAATTTATAATATAAGGACTCATCAATTTCTGTTTTATTCACAAAGTGGTAATCCATTTCTACCATTACTTTAGTGTTAAATTATCGATTTAGCCAGTGGGGAAGCCCCTTCCAGTTGCCTCCTGTGTTTTTCGACATGTCCCATCATTCTTTACTTTCTGGCACAAATAGGGTCATTTTGTGCTTTCCCAGATCCACCCATAGAATCAGTCTTTTCTCCAAGGACTTCTATCTAGTTCCTCTTAGTGTAGGATAGGTTCTTAGAAAACAAGATATGAACACTCCGTGTGCTTGATGCTACTGGTGTGTCATTGCTCCAGGGCGCGCTCAGCAAAAAACAAAAAAATGACATTACAATTAGTGAGAAGAATAAACTTATTCTCTTTGCCTCTCCAACCCCAGGTATGTGTAATCCTCGAAATTATAGTGACACACCTCCAACTTCAAAGAGCACAGTGGAGGAGCTTCATGAGCCAATCCCTTCTCTCTTCCGGGCGCTCACAGAAGGAGACACTCAGCTGAACTGGAACATCGTTTCCTTCCCTGTTGCAGAAGAACTTTCACATCATGAGAATCTGGTTTCATTTTTAGAGACTGTAAACCAGCCACACCACCAAAATGTGTCTGTTCCCAGCAATAATGTTCACGCACCTTATTCCAGTGACAAAGGTAATTGCCTACAGTTGACTTTTTCTGTCCTGCCCCCTCACTTTCTGTGTGGTCTGTGAGACGTATATTAAGATTATCTTTTTAGAGCATCCTTTTGGTTTTGAGTTTAGTCTTAAGTAAATGCTGGATTTTAATAACCCCAAATCCCTGAGTAGATAAGGAGGCATGGCGAGCATATTGTTACAACTCCTTCATTCTCTCGATGACAGAGGCTGTGTTGGAAGGTAGGTATATGGTCCTAATTTTGATATCTGTGTTAGATCTTAGTTGTTGTGGGGTTTTTTTCATGAGATAGCAACAGTGCTGCTTACCTAATACAGCATTGCTCATCATCAGGGAACATTCACACTATCCTTGGAAATCGGGTTTTTATGATAACTTTGGTACCACAAAGTTATAACTGATAACCTGATGCCAGGTTATCAGTTAAATTTCCTTATAAGCAAGTTGGTATTATAGACATCTAATGTCCAGGTATAAACTAACCACATCAGTTCCCTGGAGATGAGAATTATTGGTCAGAGGGAAACTAAATGAGAGAATGACATGAACAACAACTTTGAGAAACATTAAAGAACATTTGTTAGTAAGGATAGGCCACACCTTCATTTTGGAATGTAAAAGGCATGTAACTTTTAAAGTCTCTGATACTTTCAAGTAAAATGCTCTACACAGTTTTACTGTGGAAGAATAAGGCAATTCTGAAAATTGCAGTTATTTCTTAAAATATGAGATGAATCATGCATAAACAGTGTAATTTGTGCTCTATTTTTACTTGGCTTTTTGGTGTTTCAATCCTGCCTATCTAAAATATTATGAACTTTGGCCATCAGTAGTAAAAGCAAAACAGCTGTTATTAATCATACTCAAAATAAGAATTCTTATTTCCTTTTAAGTTAAAGTACTTTATAAGACAAATTCTGAATCTTGGAAAATATGAATGAATGGAATGTGTCTTGCTACCATTTTCCTCATGATTATAATGTAATCAACATAATAGATATTACATAATAATTCATAAAACTTTCTCAAAGATTATTTAATTCACGAAATAATAATCAGGAAGCTAATCCCTGGAAACACCTGCTCTCCTTCAAGACGGCTACAGTGTCTCCTCCTTGAGACCGTCCCTAGGTGCCCCTCCCCCCAGGTAGAGTTAGCTACTTCCTACTCCTCCCACATTTACAGTTTGATTTGTTGTCTGTTAACTTATAGGTCTAACATTTTCTACATAGTTCCCTGAATTCTCTGATTACTCTTTAAGGCCCTAATGGCTATTCCCTAGTAGATGTTCAAAAATACTAATTGAATAAATAATGAAGTGAGTTTGGCAGGTACCAATCACTTGGAGGTATAAATGCTTCCCGTCCTGCGCACTGTTAACCCCTGTAGTCTTCCTGGTGTAGTGCTGTGCTGGTCTCCCCAATTTCCTTCTTTAACCAGATCCCATCTTCTATACCCAGTGGCGGTTCTACTGTCTTCTGATGCCAACCATCCGCTGTAGACAGATTTGCTTCTGCTCCATCCCTGTGCACACTACACTCATCTCCTTGTGACTTTTCTTGTTTTGTTACATGGCAGCTTTGCTTTTAATTTTTCCGAATGCAAGTCCAATTTTTTTCCATTAAGCTTTCCCTTACTCTCAGACCCCTGGTGATTTGTCAGTTCTATAAATGGCTCTGTGAAATAGCCTGCTCTTTAGTCATATGCTCTCTGTTAGTGGTTTTTATTGTCCTTTATTTGTTTATTTCAGATGCCCTATCCACCCGGCTAGGTAGTCAAAGGGTTAACCACCAGGAGCACTTAAAATTGAAACAATCAGAAGTGCTTGCTTGGAAAGCTGGACTAGAAATTGTTATTAATAATAAGAGTTTTTTCTAATAGCTAATGTTGAATTGTGCCAAGCATTGCTAGTCATTTATCATCATTGGAGTTACTTTGTTTTATTTTATTGTAAATTCTCTGTATAATTTTAGAACAGTATTTTTCAAACTTCTTTTAGCTAGAAAATTCTCTCCTCTTAGGACATCTTATCAACAATGTCCAGTTTAAAAAGCACAGCTCTGACACATGGCAGAGGTTGTTACTCCCAGGAATCTAACTTTCAGATCAAAGTCTGAAATCTGATCAAGTGACTCAGGAAGCACTTCGTGTTCTTCAGCTGGAGTGGGAGACTCAGGCTTCCTTCTCCGTGCAGTTAACAAGTGAGAGATTTTTTTCCTGTGCTTGGTCGTCATTCTGTGCAGACTAGCAATAAGAGAACTAAGATAAATAACTATTAGTAATATCTAGCTAAATGCTAAAGCATTTTATGCTTTGCTCATTTCTTGCTGTGAAATCTTAATTTTTTATTTTTCAGAACACATGTGTACTGTGGTTTATTTTGATGACTGCATGTCCATACACCAGTGTAAAATATCCTGTGAATCCATGGGGGCATCCAAATATCGCTGGTTCCATAACGCCTGCTGCGAGTGTATTGGTCCAGAATGTATTGACTATGGTAGTAAAACTGTCAAATGTATGAACTGCATGTTTTAAAGAGGCGAAGAAGTGGAAACCAAAGCAACCCAGTCAAAAAGAAAGGTACGAAAAGCTACTCACTGACATGCTGGTTGCATCCAAATGCCAGCAGGTTAAGAAGATGTAAAGAATTTGGACCAACATACTTTTTAAGTATGTCAAATTCAGCAGTGTGTTAAATTGTGATAACTGCATATTTTTATTGTCCACTAGCAATAAGCTCTTTCCTCTAAATACATGTACAGCTTTGGTCATATGAGAAGCAGTTGCACAGAGAATACTTGAAAGATCTGAGGTTTCTAACATAAAGCCTGATATCATTTTGTTCTTACATTCCAAAAACCTTTTGTTTTGGAAGTGTTAGAGCATGTAGGCATAAGTTATGATTTCTTCATGTACTCCTCCTAGGACACTGAGTTTTCATAGTTGTATGCCATCCTTCACTGTGCCTTGTGGTGTTTACCTGTTTTCTAAATAGGGTAGATATCTAAATGTATTACCCTGAGATGTTATTAAAATCATCATAGAAAGCTTAATTTCAAGTCTTTTTATGTTGGTTTTGGAAAGTAAATGCTTACTATATTTTACAATTTAAAATTTTTACGTAGAATCCATCCTATAATACACATACTTTAGGGAAAGTTTCTCCTTCCCTTCCATACCCCTGCCCAAAGGGCTGACGTAGGTAGAAATGAAGATTCTTTATCAAGAATTTCAGGGCACACCTGAGACTGCGTTAAATATACTGCTAGCATAAATAGGTAGCAAGTTAAAGCATTTCTCTGACTAAAGGTACCAGCTTAAAAGAGCACTAGGAATGGGAAACGACTCAGATCAAACTCCAGCAAGGAAACAATTTGTCCCTTGTACAGAAATGGCAAAGCTGAGAGGTGGCACTGTGCTCAGGCGAAGAGTGAGCCCACTCAGCCTCAGCGCACACAGCCACTTTCTGCCACAGATGAGTGACAGGAGGGGCTAAAGAACAGAATTTATGGGTATGAACTGGTTGAAAATCCTGGCAATTCTAATGGGAAACAAAACTATTTACATTAATTGTTACTTTGTAATCTTTGAAGTTTATATCTAGATCAAATGTTCTTATTAAACAAGTATAACCATACGGTAGGAGGTTAAGATTATGAAATCAAAAAAACAACACTTCAAATACACTACAGAATATTTTGTCAGCTTTTTGTGTAATGTTTCAATAAAGATAAGCTTAGATACTGTGTGCCCTTCATAGTAATAAAATTGCAATCTTCAAGCATCTAAAACGTTTATGTTACAGAGACTCTTAATTTTATAGAATTACTAATTTCTCAAATAGGACACATTTGAATTACACAAAACTTTTTAGGAATACCTCTTTGTATGTCTAAATATTTTAGTACATAAAATAGATAATGCTCTTTGTATTTGTATTCATTATCTGAACAGTAGTTAGTTACAAGATCATATGTAGTATTATGATTAGCAATCATAAAGTTTAAAGCCTTAATACCTTTTCTGCTCTTTCAGATAACTCTAATGAATACTCAAGGTACTTTAGCTTTTTATAAAGTTGCAATTTCGGTTATGGATACTGTTTTTTTAATAGGAAAAAATTGGGATATCCTTTTCTTACTTTTACCCAGAATGCCTCTGTTTAAAAGTGCCTTGAAAACATTTTAGCTCCGGTTCTTCATTAATACCAATCAAGCTGAAGGTTTTTTTGAACTTAAGACAGTTTTAAAGGAATCTGTAGCCAGGTTGGTTCATTTCAACTTTGCAGTTTTTTCAAAGTAATTTCATATTTACCTATGAATAGATGAATTCTGCTGTGTTTATTGACAACATGCTTAATGTTTCCTTAAACACAGCAACAAACTTTTTAAAACTGCATTTATCATCATTTTTAGGTCTTCATTATTAAATTTTAAAATGTAATATATCTCCTGCCCCCTGCATTGGGAAGATAATTTCTTGAACCATATTATGTTTTAACTGATTTTTCTTACTCTCTTTCTCCCAACAGAAATTATCTCTAAATGTAATGCTTTATTTTTCTGGTTTATAAAGGTGTTGAAACACAGTGCTCACCTGAAAGATTCCATTTCAGGTTTTGAATAACAATATTTTTTCAAATCAAAAGTATAGCGTTTGGGAAGCCAGTAGTCCCACTAAAAATTAGACCTTCTATTACCATTCTAAGCACAATTCACTTCTCTACAGAAGCTCTAGTAAAAAAAAAAATTTTTTTAATAAAAAATTGGGTTCTTGTCTTTTTTATAACTAGATTTTAAAACACTAAATTTTAAATCAGTAGGCATTATAAAAACCATATATAAAAGGCTTTTTCCTATAGTAAAACATGTCCTTGCTAGCAGGTTTTTCTGCCCCCTCTTCCCAGTAACATCTAATTATTACTAAAACTATAGTGGCACCAAATCAAATAGTAATTCAAACAGAGCAAGTCTTTGTTTACATAGAATGCTGTAAAGGAGAGGCCTTCATTTAGAAATGTGATTTCCAAGGTTTCAGAACACAAAATTGATGAGATGTTAGACTATTTGAACAATTATTTATAAATCACAGTAGCATTAAAATGGAGAAATGAAACTTCTGAAAAATGAGGTAAATATATAAATAAGCCACATATTTAAAGTTTGTTTTTATAAAAGTTTCTTTGAATGTTTGTAAATCTAGTCTGCATTCCCATGAGCCTATGTTTATTGTATTTTACATGATTTACAACTTATAAAATTATGTGCTTTTTCCTTTGGTTGTCCCTATTAAATAAAGTATTTTAATAAAAAATTGAAATGAGTGTCTCAAATTGTTTGTTAACTTCAGCATAGGACATCAAAATAAGTTTGACATTTCTGTCTAGTGAAGTTATTGGTTAAGGTATCAACCGAAGCATGTTCCCTTCTCTCCAAATGTCCCTACAGATTCTGTTGAAACAAAGGATTTGTAACAGTTTACTCTCTGCTTTTTCAAAATATGCTTTATTCGGATATGGGGGTAACCTTTGAAATGAAATAATTAACTGATCTCCTTGCTCCTAGGGTCTTGTGACGCCAACCAGCCTCACAAGAACTATCTGATGGTTGGAAGGAGTTACAGAAAGATCAAGGTAGGAAAAGAAGTCCCAGCTCTCCTGCAGTGATCCTCTCGGGATAATAGTATTAGGATTGAGAGCTATAGGCTCTATGCTTATGGTTATTTCATAGAATCCACATTTTGACAGCCTAATGGATGGGGAGTCTAGAGAGCGGAGAATTCAAGAAGACAGATTGCCAGCCTGAGTGACTTAAGGGAATGACAGATCTAACGAATTTGAGAGTGCAGAATTAGTTTCAAGAAAGATAGTACATTTGATTAGGAAAGCTGTTTTTTCGCTGAAGGTGTCCCATGGCAGTTTGTCATGTGGATCCCAGAGGCAGAGGATCAGCCTCGAGCTGGGGAGTTGAGAGGGTGTATCTCCAAGCTTGAAAAGTCAGCAGGGACCAGACAGCCTCCAGCTCAGGTCCTCTGGCCTAATCGAGCTGCTCCACATCCAGCATTTTTTGAGTTTCTAAACCAGCAGGCACGCCCTGAGCTGTGGGTGTTATGACTCAGACCTTTTAGATTTTTCCTGACCAATAAAAAAATAAATTCATTTCACATTCTTTTACTTTGAAGTCTGTGCTGGAAGGATGGAGTCAGCAATAATCCTAAGGTCTTTTGAGATGAGAATTCTCAGTGCAGAAGCAGAGAAAAGAGACTTCCATCCCCCCACAGTGGTGCTGTGACTCAGTGTGGAGCCTAGAGAAGAGCTGAGCCCCCGCCAGTGCCAGCACAGAAATTCCCTCACTTGATTGGAGGTAGCCACGGAAGTCAGTCAACACTGAAATATCTTTAGGGAAAAAAATTGTTTCCAACCCTCCTTACCTCTGTACTCCATGCTGCAGCAGAGCAGTTGTTCTAAAACACGGGTGCAGCCCGGCTGGTGTGGCTCAGCGGTTGAACCCAGGAGATCACACAGTTCGATTCCCAGTCAGGGCACATGCCTGGGTTGTGGGCTCGATCCCCAGCAGGGGGTGTGCAGGAGGCAGCTGATCAGTGACAACTCTCTCTTCACTGTTTCTATCTCCCTCTTTGTTCCTCTCTTGGAAATCAATAAAGATATATTTAAAAATAAGTAAATAAAACACTGGTGCAGGCAATTACTGCCCCAACCCCAGGTTCAGTTTTGAGCAAATAGCAAGGCCTCTTTGCTCCTTTGCCACAGAGGGTTGAATTACCCAGTAGGCAGTAGTAGCAACACCGACAGCCTGCCTTTTGTTTTCCAGAAGTCTCACCTGCTCAGGGGTTTGGCTGGGGCAGGGAGAGTGCAAGAGACTTTGGGGCCCTGAGAGAGAAGATTGGATGTAGCGAGGGTCTCAGACCCTGCGGACTGCCCCAGCCTCAACGTGCCCTAGCAGAGGCTACGCGTCTGAGACATGCCCAGCAGCTCAGAGGAGGCCTGGCTCCTGAGCCTACAGTTGCCTTTTTAAGAGGTTTCAAACTGCAAATATTAGCAGATCAGCACTCATTGTCCAGGGCTCCCCAAACTTGCCTCTAGGATTAGGTGAGACCCAAGCAAGATAGGTGGCCCAGAGCCTCTCTCAAGACAGATGTTGGGTGGGATGGGGCTCAGAGTCAGGCTTGCTTTAAAGAAAATAAGGTGTGAGATGTTGCACCCCTGGGTTTGTGGAATGGAAGCTCTATTCCCAGCCCCAGTGCTTCACACCCCTTCTCTCCAGTCCCCTTGCTCCTGGCTGTGCCCCTCGGCCGCACACCAAGTTCGTTCCACCCTCGGGTTTGCGTGAGTTGATTGCTCTGCTAAGTGTGCTTTTTATGCAGATTTGGGCGTCTTGTTCTTACTCAGATCTCATCTCAAATATTTCCACCACCATTTCTAAAGTGGCAGCCCTTTCCTTCAACACCCCAATCCTATTACTGTTTTATTTTTTTAACAGCAGGTAACTCTCTGAAAGTATTTATCAGTTAATTTTTTAAATCCTCACCCAAGGATATTTTGTTCATTGCTTTTTAGAGAGAGTGGAAGGGAAGGAGGGAGGGAGGGGGAGACAGAGAGAGAGAAACATCGATGTGAGAGAGACATGTCGATTGGTTGCCTCCCACATGAGACCCCACCAGGGCTGGGGATCAAACCTGCAACCCAGGTGCTCGTGCCCTTGACTGGGAATCTAACCCGAGACCCTGCAGTGCGACCGCCGACGCTCTAACCACTGAGCCATACCGCCCAGGGCTATCAGTTAACTTATGTATCGTCTCTACTAGCATGAGGCTAGCGACCTTGTTCTCTTGCTGATCCCTGCCTTAGACACAGTTCCCCAGCACCCTACAATGGCAGGCACAGACTGTTTTATGGACCAGTGAGCCTCAGCACGTCCTATCATACTTCTGCAACTTCTCAGCAGCTTTCCCAGGGCCCCACCATCCGGTCCTGCTGATCCCGCCAGGCCTGCCTGAGGCCTCTTCATTTCACAGTCCACCTGCAGTCCACTGGGCTGCGTCAGTCCTCCTGTAAATGCTGTCACATCAGCCTGGGACACTTTCCCTCCGCGCCCTCCCCTTAACCTCTTTCACTGACTCACTCACCAAGCTCTCAGCTTAGCTGTCTTTGTTCTAGATCCTCTTAAGCAAGGCAGTTAACTGTGATTTCTTATGACCGACTGAAAATGGACAGAGGCCAGATTAGAGGACAAGGCTGGAGCCAAGATTTAGCCAGACATGCCCCCAAAGAACGTGGCCTAAAGGAGGGCCTGCTCCTGCAGGAGTAGGGCGAAACGTGTTCCTGTGGACAACTGACTTCCAAGAGGAAGGGCATGCCCAGTTTTCTTCCCAAATTTGCCAGTCAGTTACTCCTCTGCCCCGCCCTGGGGTGGGGAGTGGGGGTGGTGGTAATAAATATATGGGGCAGAGAAAAGCCCCTCGGTACACTGAATTATTTCTTACCCACAAAGGAAACCTCAGCGTTAGGGGAAAAAGTGTTCTGAAACAAGGAGCCCCATAACCCAGGTCCTTGAGGTCCACATTATGCACATTACCTACTTTTCCCCAGCTTCTCCGAGAAGTCTGCACATCCCACCGAGGTTAGTAACAAAATCGGACTTTGCATATCTTTGGCTGTTGAGATATGTTTTTGTCTTTTTCTAAGGACCCTTCGATAAAACCCTCAAGTGTGGAAATACCTTTAGGAAAATCTCAAGAACTTTGAACCTGATGGAATCTTGCATCTTTTCATGTTCAAAGATCATACGACTGTTTTAAAATAACATCATTCAGAATTTGGGTTATTTCGAGATGACTAACTAGTGGCACAACTTTGAGGTCTTTCTGTAGTTAAAGGTTTTTGCCAGAGCACCATTCTGATGTGTTTGATTTCAGTGGTTAAACTTTTACGCCTGGTTCACTCATGGGGGCCTGTTTTGTGTATGTTTTACACTTTTGGAATATAAGCTTGTGCTGATCAGGGCTTTGTGCCATTCCTAGGAAGCCTGGATTATGGCTATATAGTTTCCGGGGAGATTTTTATTTGCATATGCAGCTGCTCCAAAGGGTAACCACCCCAGATAAGCTTGATGTGAATTTCTTGGTTTACCGGAGTTAAGTATACATCTGTAGTAGATATTTGAACTCCAGAGCAGCATAAGGTTTGCTCATGATCATGAACTCTCAGGAGACTTTTGCATCACCTTTGTTCTCTCATTGTCAGAGGGAGAATTTTTTCCAGTCCATATTTTTTAGGGACTCTTGAAAAGGCCCAGCTTCCTCAGCAAGGGGGTGGGCTTCTAAGCTATAATCCCTACTTTGTGTGGGCCCATCCCTCATCCTTTGTCTTTTTCTTGCCCCATTAAGGTTCAAGTCTCTTGGTTACTGAGATCAGCTAACACCCCCCCGGGGCAGGAGAAACAACTGTGCCAGTCTGGCTTTTAGCTTCAGCATCAGTTGTTTTGCTTTTGATCGGGAGAACTGCCTTAAAGAGAAGTCTGGACACTTAACTTTTCAGTATAAAAGTGTATCTATTTGCACGGTTGAGGATTCAGAGAAGGACAGTGTCAAACTTCGAATTTGCAGTAGACATTAACTAGAGTAGCTTCCTTCTGTGACCGCTCGGTGGCCTCTTCTGTGTTGTAATTACCCTGCATTCCAGTCACAGCTGACTGATCCTGTGGTCCTACGTGAGGACAGCCCACCTCTAGCTCAAGAATTTGAAAGTTAAAGATAGTGACCCAGAAACCCAGTCACCACACTGGAGAGAAGTTCTACCAATGGAATTCTCTGGAGTTGACATACTTGCTGCCCTTCCCAATTTAATACCTTTGATTCCAAGAGCTCCCCCAACAGCCTTCCAGTTAAATGCTTTATCTTGCTTAAGAATCTATTTCTGCTGCTTGCACTGATACTAAATTTCTTACAAAGTACATTTAAAATCAGGTTAGGGACATTAAAACACGTCATAAGTGATACAGTAATTAAAATAGTGTGGTACTGGCATCATAACATACATGGTACAAATAAGTCCAAAAAAATGTTCCAAATGCATAAAATGTGAAATATTGGATAAAGGTGGTACACGCCAGTGGGGAATTGTTATTAAATGTGGGAACACCTGGATAACTGTAGTCAGTTTGGGGTGCTGTAACGAATACCACAGACTGGATGGCAGAAACAACAAACATTTATTTTCTCACAGTTCTGGAGGCTGGGACGTCTGAGGTCAGGACGTCAGTAAGGCAGGTTCTCGGCGAGGGCCCTCTGCCTGATTACGT